CAATAACTGAAAGAAATCAGAAAGATCGCAAGGGAGAGATATCCGTGCCCGGGAGATATAGACGACTTCGAAACGGAGTCGCGTCCGGAAGTCCAAATCTCGAAATCTATATCTAAAATAACGATAACACGATATAATTTTAAGGCACTCGCGATCCCGTGTACGACGACAGGGAGGATCGGGGTGAGTTTACAGTAACTCAAACGTCCGAAGGAAGAAAGATATAGAGTTAAATATTTGAAGAAATATATATATATATACATGTATGTAGCGTTTTTTTTTTTTGAGAAAAGTACAGATCCTTAAAATTAATCATAATCAGCGAAACCTGGAGATATCCGATGATATAACGCTACGAGAAAGAAATATTCCGGAGGCACGAAAAAACGATTCGCCCAAAGCGGCGTTAAACGCGCAAGAATCTGCATAAGAGCGATGACCGTCGCTTAACGTCTTCAAACTTGCGAAACTTCCTCGTAAACATGAATCTCGAGGTGGAATTGATCGCGGGGGTTATCAAAGGCAGCCCACCCCCGCTCATCTGCCGGCGCCGAGGCTCATCAAGATATTCATCGCCGGCGAGAGGGATGGTAAGTCGAATGATCTCCGGGATTTCCGCGAATCTCTCGTGGGACGCGGACGTGTTTAGCCTCGGTTTAGCTCGCGTTTCATTCGCGACGGATTTACTGGAATCCAATAGATGCATATCTCCCATTAAATTTCGTGTATTAAATGAGATTCAATCTCGGTAACGTCACGCGCAACATGAGGCAACACGTAGGTGTAGAGAACGAGGGAGAGATGGGCCGATAAGTAGGGAGCTTCTATTAACGTGAAATCGAATTTCACATTTGGCAATTTCCCCGGCTAGACTTCCCGGAGGAGCGCAAACAGCTGCTGGAGATGGTCGGCCCGGAGCTGCAATCAATCTACGACGATATGGGAATCGAGGTCAGTATAGAACGATGTCATTTATTTTGACGTTCAAATCGAACCGCCCCGCTTTCCACCCCCTGAGACCGCTCGTCCCTTTTTGCCCTTTTGCGTAGGTGCTTCTGGTGGACATGCAGTACGGCACCAGCGAGGATCCGGATGCCGATCCGCGGCTGGCGGAGTACTTTCTGGAAGAGATAAGCGCGTCCCACCGGCATTCCAGGGGATGCTTTCTTCTGGTGAGAAATATATAACGTTATATCGATCGCCGTCTATATCGCTACATTTATCTTTCATCGCTGCGTAGAGCTAAGAATTACTCGCGACACACTGTCGTAAAATATTCTAACGGGGGGTGGCATTCCAGCACCGTCATACGATTATCACCGTAATATCGCCCCCACCCCCCTACCACACCCCTCTTCACCCCTCGACTCGCTCTGGTTTTATTACATCTTACGCGTACACCCGCCGTTCTTGCGTGTCACGTCTCGTCGCTCTTTTCTTTACACTTCCCTCCATTTACACACGTACGCCCCACCCCCTACCTTTTCCTGCCCCAAGTAAGCCCGAGATGCAAAGGAGTGACTCGTTTCTCCATTTGTTATCCTTTTCAGCTGTTGACGGGAACAAATTATACCGTAGGGTGGGTACCGACGGAATTGAAAGAGGCTACCTACCAAACGCTTCTCGCGCACTGCGCCCTCCTTAAAGATCATTACGAGCACAACGGGCACTCTTATGTTTTAAATGCAAATAGGTAACGCTGAATGTTCAGAAATCTCTCCTCCTACTATCCCCTTTCCTCCCCCTTTTTTCGCATCCCTTTCTGAGCCGTCGTATTGTTGTGTGAGATAGCGTGGAGACCGCACAGCGGGAATGGCAAAGGGAACGGGAACCGAAGTTGCGTCAGGCGCTGAGGACCGCCGCGGAACGGGCGGTCGCGGAGCAACCGGACGACCTGGAATTGAGATACATCCTGAAGAGCACGGCTGAACGACAACTCGAACACGGCCTAAGTGAGTAGAAAGTTTCGAGTAGATGTGAGTAGATCCTACGATCGTCGAGATATATGAAATGTCCGCGAAAGCGATCCTAGGCTGTTGATATTCCGTGTGTGTGTGTGTGTGTTCGCGCGCGTCATACTTTTGCAGGATCTTAAATAAATAACCGAACGATACCGCCACTCTGCCGCTGTCAATATTTGATCGACACTCGTGCCGATGGCGTGCCGTATTTCAGAAACGAAATGTCGTACCTATCGAAGCTTTTCTTCTCCAAAAATAGGAGATCCTGACCTTCTAGGTCAAGTGTCGCGCGCGCCATTTAAATTATTCCCTTGTCAAACGCGCAACGATCGTTCGCCGCGCGCCGGCTCTGCGTTCTCCACGTTACGAGGGGCTTTTACGCGGAGACTAGAAAATTGGACCGCTTTGTGCCGCGTTTTGCGCCGCGCTAATTCGTTTTCCAGCCAGAAAATTTAATTGGTGCTCGAGTTATTTTTAGTTAGTCGCGCTGAAAACTTTACGAGAAATCTCTTCAACGTAAAGAGATTAAAATCTCGGCACGAGAACTCACTTATTCCTGAACGTTCTTGAACAAATGACAGAGGCGCTTTAAAGACCTTTCGCGAAGTTCTTTCGTTACGCAGGTATAAGCGAGACACGTGTAGCGATACTAATAATTCATCAGCGGTATAATCATCGTTGGAATCATCGTTCCTAGATCTAGATCAGCAGGGCTTAGGAATAATGGCCGTGATTCGCGAGTGGACGGGCGACGACGCGCAAAGATCTACGGCCGCCGCCGAGGAGCTGAAGAATCGCATCCAGACTACTCTGCCCCACGAAAACGTCGTGCATTTGCACGTGGAATATCGTGACGGCGGCATCGACGCCGACTGCGACGCTCACGACGAATATCTCGGAAAATTTCGGGAATTGATACTGGACAGACTGCAGCAGCTGGTGAACGCTTCCGTCGAGCTTGATCCGGAGATCAAAAGCCGCAAGAAAATGGTACAGGAAGTCTACGCTGAGAGTTTGGCGCATCTCGCCATTCTTCGCGAAATGCCATTGGCCGACAAAGACGACGAGACCGTGGAGCGAGTTAAACAACTTATCCTTGCAGGTATTGTTTACTTTTGAGACAATAGAGCGGCGTAAAGGTATATTACGCAGTTGGATTACGTGTAAATCTATTACATGCTTCAATTGTTTGAATTGGCAGAGATAGCCGCCCCGGATAATCGAGAAATTTAAATTTGTACCTTGAGTGATATTTTTCTTACGGAAAGAAGGGGAGGAGATCTTCGATAGCAACTTGATCATTGATTTATTAAAGGGGAAAGATGTAGCTGCTACGCTTTCAAGCTCGTTAAAAATAACGACACGTGGTTGGCGACATAAATAATTATCTTGAATTTATATATAAACGCAAAAGAATCATCATAGATGAGATCCCGATTTTCCATTTCTCTTTTATGTAAATCTATAGGCAAGGAACGTAAGCACGGACCGATTCTAATCTACGGGCCCAAATCCTCCGGGAAGTCCTCTATTCTCGCGCGCGTCTATCGAGATTCGCCCGACTGGCTCGCGGCACCAACCCTTCGTATCGTCCGACTGTGCACCTCGACACCCCGATCCGCCTATAGTCTGGAACTCCTTCGCATCCTCTGTCAGCACGTCGGCTTCCTTTGCGGAGACAACGACGGCAATCTGCCGCGCGACGCCTCCTTCGATCCGCTCTACCTCAACAATTGGTTCGGTCTCATTATGCGCCGCTTAGAGGAGCATCCCCTTTCGGATCAGTTGATTATACTTCTCGACGACCTTCATCGCTTCCATCCCCTCGAATGCGACATCGTCGCCGCCCTGTCCTGGCTGCCGCTCAACCTTCCCGCGGGCGTTCACTTCGTCATCGCCTCCTCGCTTCCGCCCGAGGGAATGCGCCTCACGCCACTTCAGAAGGACCGTCTACGTAGCCCCGACATTCTCATCGATCTTTCCGGGCACGTGTGCGTGACGCCAGGCGTCGACGCGGTCCTGGAGCACTTGGAGGACCTCGTCGGGCTCGGCGCGGCTAATCGGGTCGCCTCGATTCTCGCTTGCACCGAGTACGGCTTGTCGGAGACAGAGATACTTGAATTGATTATGCCCACGGGAGGAGAGGAACCTTTGCTCTTGGAGGAGAATCAATTTAACTTTGCGACTTGGTGCTTAGTCAGAAGGACGTTTGCATCGTGGCTCAAAGTAAGTGATTAAACCCGCAGATCTGAATACGATTTGGGTCAACAGTCAACTTTATATCATTCACGTTACATTTCATTATTATAAAATTTCGTTTGTTTTATGAAATATTTCAGATACGAGTGATGAGCGGCCGACTGATGTTCTCCTGGCGTGGCCAATTTCGCGAAGTCGTGCTCAGAAAATATCTCGCTAATCAAGACGTTTCTCGCGGCTATCACGCGGAGTTGGCCGGTCTCTTTTTCTCCGAGGAGACTGACGATAGTACCGATAAGTCGCCGGAAAATCCGACGGAATCTTCGGTCCCCGTTAAGGAAACGCCGTTTCAAAGCGCGCCGCAAACGCAAGATATCACGTATACACTTCGACACGTCGAAGAAGCATGGCTGCATCTCCTGCGCGCTTCCGACGTCGACAAGCTGAAGAAATTCGCCGTCTGCTCGTTTGACTTCCTTCTCGCGGGTGTCCAGATGATCTCCGTAAGCTACTTACGATGCGTCCTAGAGCACGCCAGGCGATATCTTCTCGAGCGCGACCTGGAGCTCGTGTATTACGCCGTGAGAAAATCCAGCGACGTCCTTACCAGAGATCCGCTTCAACTCGCGGCGCAGCTCATCTGCTGGTTAAGGCCGGTTGCCGAAGACGGCGGAGATCTTGTAGGTCTTTCCTTTTCATTTCCTATTCTAATAAAAAATCCATAATTGGAAAAATCTTATTCGATCGCTTTATCAAGGTGAGTAAAATGGTTACGTCGGCTATGGCTTGGTGCGATGGTTACACCGCGCCTTTGCTGGTGCCCTTGAACGGATGGCTACAACCACCTCTGCCATTGCAAATCCGAGCGCTTACGTGTCCTCAGGGTGTTAAATTGATCGAAGCGGCACCGTCCGGTCAGCACGTCGTCGTCGTGCCACCGCAGGGAGACGCTCAGTTATGGCACGTAATGTCCGGTCAGCTCGTTCATACGTTCAAAGGTAAGAGAAAAGTTTAACAGTTGATGGATTCGACACAATTTTTTTTTCTATATTGTTATTAACAATAGTCCCTCAATAATGTCTATCAATAAACATCATTTTTTTTTCCTCATATCAGGACACACCAGTTCGATTACGTGTTTAGCTGTCACCCATCAATCGCAGTATCTGCTGACTGGCTCCGAGGATACGTCCATTATCGTCTGGGACATGAAGGATCTAGTAATGAAACGTCGAATTTGCGAGCACATCGCGCCGATCCTCACTTTAATCCCGGCACTCAACAACTCTGTTATCGTGAGCGGCGGTGAGGACTCCAGAATTATCGCTACCAGCTTGCTCACTGGCGAAGTCCTGATGAAAGTCGATCATCATCGAGGTCCCGTCACCACTATTAAAGTCGATTCCGCTGGAGAAGTTTTGATTTCCGGTTCGGCCGACGGCACTGTATGCCTTTGGTCTCTAGAAAGCTTCAGTCTCCTCAACAGTATTGCTCTTCCTTCTCCGGTGTCCATGCTAGATGTATCTGCAGATTCAGTTTTTCTTCTAGTCGCTTGCGAAGATGAGAAGCTTTACCTGAGATCTTTGGCAACGGGAACGGAGATTCACACGCTTAGGGGACATCAGGGACCAGTTAAAAGTCTTTGCCTGGCGAAAGATTGTAGAAGAGCTATCACTGGCAGTGTCGAAGGCAGAGTATCGGTATTTGATATGCATAGTGGAAAGTTGATCAAGCTTTTGCCCGCTAATCCATCGACAAGCGTCACTTCGGTCAAGGTAATTAAATTCAAAATTACAATAAATCACTTTTTCTCATTTGCCCTCTGTTTCTCATATCCTATTTAAATTATCCTATTGTATTTCTCTTTTTATTTCTCGCAGGTAACCGAGAAGGATGATTTTTTGATAACTGGCGGAGGATGTCGCGTGACCTATTGGAGTTTCCGCAGTGAAGAACCACCACCGAAACCACAGAAACCCGGGAAACAGACTTCTTTGCAACCCCATACCGCTCCGATATCTTGCTTGGACATCTCTAGGGATGGCGCCATGGCAGTCACTGGTGGTGTCGATTCTTTAGTCAATTTATGGCAACTCAACACTCATGAATTGTTATCTACTCTGGAAGGGCACTTTGCCAGTATCACTTGTGTCGCATTTTCCGCATCAGGACTTTTTGTCGCATCTGGTACGCAAATTTATAACATTTTTCTAATTGATTTTAACTTTCTATAATCTTACTACGTAGCTGTATTAAATGAGAACATAAGCACGTCTGTACATAAAAATTCTTCAGGATCCGAGGACAAAACGGTACGTGTGTGGGGTTTGACTCTGGGACTTGTCGTATCTACATTTAGGCATCAGGCTCCAGTAACTGCTGTTATTGCTATGTTGGATGGAAGAAGAGTGGTCAGTTCAGACCGAGCTGGCACTATCAGAGTTTGGGCAGCGGAAAGTGGCACGCTGATTCAATCTGTTTGCGGACCCGGACGATGTTTTGCTGTTGCGTCCGACATGAGGTGAGAAAGGATTTGTAATAGCCCAGCTTCTCTGTGCCAGTAAATTTCTCTGTGCCAGATCTTTGTTACCTTGCTCTTCTATTCAGACACACTCCTCGCATTTCTATCTTCGAACTTTGATTGCTATTTCAAGACCCATTCGTACTAACGCCTCCCAGTTCAACCAATCCATCACTCCAGATACGCGGTATGCGGATCTGGTGATAACCAGGTGCGCATAATCAGTCTGGGCGTCGGTCCTGAAGAGAAGCATCAGGTATCACACTCGCAGGATATCACGTGCCTAGTATCAACGCCTGATTCTCAGTACCTGATCACCGGGTCCCGCGATATGAGTCTGAAGGTGTGGCAGTTGGTCGGCGGCAAACTGTCCCAGGCGTTGGTCGGCCACACCGACCATGTAACTTGCGTGGCAGTCGCGGTGCTTGACAAATCCATAGTGGTATCCGGCTCCCGAGATGCCAATCTGATTGTTTGGGATATCAACACCGGTGCTGATTTGCATACTCTCGTGGGTCATCTGGGTTACGTGACTTGCGTACGTCTCTCCGGCGATGGCACCCTGGCCGTTTCCGGAAGTGAAGACAAAAGCCTCATCGTCTGGGATACCAAAAAAGGCACTTCGCTCAGTACCATCATGCTACACGTACCAATTTTAGGAGTCGAAATATCTACCGATTGTTCAAGGATGGCGGTACATTTATTGGAGCATAGATGCATGCCTATTCTGTGTCTGCACAATACTCCCGCGCAATACGTCAAATTGCCATCATACGTGGCGCCGCGGGATCTGAGACCACCGGGACCGAAGCGACCTGCCAAGAGGTTGCTGAAGAAAGAGGTGTCTTTAGATACTTACACCTGGCAGCGAAAATATGGACATCTTACATCAGGTTAGCATTTTTATATAATTTTGATTTCAGGATTGTAATTAATTCCTTGTTATTATTCCTTGTTATAAAAAGGATTGAAATGTCTTGATATTTTTTTGTATTTAACCGCAGGTATTATATCATCGAGTATTGAAGAACGAATGAAACGTCGTTTTAGCGTGAGTGCATCAATGGAAGAGATTAGTCAGGCAGGTTTAGCCGGTTCTCAACCTGGCCTAGGTCCTGAACAGGCCGCTTTAGCACAATCTCAACATTTCGATCAATTGGAGGCACTTTGGAACAAGCAATCACCGCCGCCAAGACCACGTGGCCTAGTTCGGACATTAACGAAGCAGAGCTCGCTTCAGGCTACTCGAATATCGGACTCTGAAGAGGAAGGTAAGTGTCTATGATATATTTTTCTACATCAGTCTGTTTAAACAGACTATTGTCTATTTTTTACTGTAAAACATACAAAGCTAAAGTTAAAAATAACAGAATATTACATTGCAGATGGACCGGATTAAATGGCGGAATACTTTCGATCGACAACCTTCGATTGATTGTCGAATATATTTAAGCTACAAAATATCCTTCCATGTCATTTGATGCAATAAATAAAGAGATATCAAAGGTAACTAGAGATATCAAAGGTAGACTAGTAACAAACTGAAAGATTTATTCCATTATTTCTATAGTTCCATCTACAATATGTCTATATTTTATTTATTTTTTCTTATTATCTGCATTATTAGATATTATATATAAAATATCAACATCATTATGTTACATTATGCATAAATATTAATTACTTATTCCGTTAATTCACTCCTTGACTGTTTGTGCGTCGTTTGATAATATTCCGCAATGATTTTCCATGCTTTGGGCGCCATAAAACCTTCGGGAGGATCTTCATCGTTTTTCGCCAAATCTAAATCATAAAAGAAACAATAAATACATTTATAAATACTTTATCTAAATGTTTGTACATAAACAAATTAAAATAATATAAAATTATTTAAGCTAACAAATAATGAGAACAGAATAGATATTTACTACGCATTTTGGTGCCGGAAATAAAAATAAAGTCTCGTTGCCGGTCAGCTTCGAAGAAAGACATTTTCTTCGCTTTGGTGTCATAAGCGGCTACCTTAAAAGGGATGATCTCGAGATTCTGCAAACCTGGCGCCATCGAAAGGACGCGTGCGCCGTGAGTAGCATCGTAAAGATTGCCATCCAGTGTAGTTGATTTATCAGGATGAGGAACGCCGGCAGGATCTCGTCCAACGATATAGAAATTTGCTCCCGCGATCATACGAGCTTTGGCATGCCATTGTACCTGAAGGACATTAGATAAGCGTTGAGCATTTTTTATCATTTCTTATTTCAGGTCTCACGTAACGTATTGTTCAACAAAATGTAAAAAAAAAATTATATATATATATATATATATATATATATATATATATATATATATATACTAC